CCACCTAGCAGTTGAGATGGGGTCTTGTGAACATTTTGCCCAAATTTACCTTTAACCATTTTCCTCTCATTTCAGTCACCAAAGGAGCTAGAATAATAGATGTAAGACACTGGAGCACAATCTTATTCATCTAATCAAATAAGTAACCTAAATAGGGTCTTTATTACAATAGAAAATTAGAATATTGTAAGCCAAAAAAGTATTTATGAGAGTGTAGTAATAATGTAAAATGCTTAATATTATAATGAGAAGTTGAATTAAAAGTAGTATGTAAGGGTGACATTGTCCAAAAGGAAATGTACTCTTTGCTTGACTTATGTAACTGCAACATTCTGTGTAATAAAGATTTTTTAAAGTAGGATGTATAATAAAAGAAAGAGCACAATACAATCATCATTTTAAGAATGTGTTCAGAAAAGAAGACTAAAAAGTAATATGTCAGATTTAACAATGGCTATATTTAGGTGAAAGGTTAAGGAGGACCATTTTCTACCTTAATTTGATCTTTGGAAGTCCTTGAACTTTCTATATATGGAAGAAAGTGGTAAATAACATTTTATATGAAATAAAATCCAACATAAGTAGAGAAATCTCTATACAGACTAGCATACACATAAGAATAGAGGTTATATGGGAATTTCTTACTTTTCTTGCACTATCTCTTGTTGCAAAATGAGTGGCAATTCCTGTCACTTTCCATTATTTCTGTTGTTTGTCTATCAGTGTGACTATGCTCGCCCCAAAAGCAACAATGACAAAATATAGTGCTCAAAACTCCAGCTTCTAGGTTTTTTCACATCCTGCCAAATATAACTAAGGCATTACATATCCTGATTTTAAAAATAATGCTAAGCTTTTACATGTGTAAGCTACAAATATTAAACTTTTAGGAACAGACAGTATGATAGGTACCAGGGACCCGCTGCAGTTCCTAGTGAGCAATAAAATCACATAGTTACATAGTATACTTGGCCCAACTGTACATTCATGTGCTCTGAGAAGTTAGTTAAGGTAGGCAAAGCTAGAGTATAAATATTGGTATGCTGGGTATATCAGATGTATTTTCAACTTATACTATTTTCAATTTACTAAGGGATTATTGAGATATAGTCCCCTCATACTACATATAAGAGCATGTACATGTTATGTTGCTACCTATGTGATAGGCTTATGGTAAAGTTGAATTTAAAAACTGGCCACCAAAAAAATTAAGAACAATGGTAAAGGGGGGAAAAAAAGGAGGAGGCAACAATGCTTGCTAAGAAATGTACTCATTACCTTGCTCATGTAACTGTAACCCCTCTGTACAATATTTTCACAATAAAAAACTTATTAAAAATAAAAAAGAACAATGGTAAAAATAGAATTTATAAGCAACAAACTGTAAAAAATTACTTAAAGCATATAAACAGTTTAATTCTGGAACTTTCCACTCAATATTTTCAGGTGAAAAGTAACTGAAACTGTGGAAAGTAAATCCATGTACATTACAGAATTAACTAAATATAAACTTGGAGCATATTCAGATTCCTTGGCTCCTAAAAACATTTGGTAACATTATTATCCATCTACTTTAGAACTGAGAAGTATTTATCATCTTACATTAGTCTCTATGACAGTTCAATAATTTACAAAGTTATAATCCTCCAAGGGGAAACAAAGGTGGAGGCATCAATGCTTGATAAGAAATGTACTCATTACCTTCCTCATGTAATTGTAACCCCTCTGGATGGTATTTTCACAATAAAAAAAGAATTATAGGAAAAAATATTGTGAAAAATGAACATTTCACTGGAATGCAACTTTTACATTAAAAATAAATCCTGTGGTATAATTACAGTTACATGTTTCCATAAAATTAATTTTATCTTTAGATTTCCACATCTGTTACATCACATTTGTCCATATTTATTACTTTGAATATTTACCACATTCTTCAAAACACAAACACACTTTCAATTTTTAATTTAAAATATCTGATTATTTTTCAGGGGATAGGTGAAGAGAAATTAAAACTTTGAACAAATTCAGAGTTTATTTTCCTTCTCATTTGTAGTTCTTCTTAGGAAACTACCAATGAAGTTCCCTATGAGGTGTTTTTAAATTTAATTTAACATAAGTTTTTGATTGGTGAATTTTTCTTTTTTAAAAATTTTATTTTATTGTAAAGATGATGTACAGAGGGGTTGCAGTTACATGAGTGAGGCACTGAGTGCATTTCTTATCTAGCATTGTTCCCCCTTTCCTTGTTCTCCCTCTATCCCCTACCTCCCCCATTTCCCTCACTCCTTTCACCTCCCTCCCCCAGAAGTTGTAAAGTTCATTTCCAATATACTGTTTTGTGGGTATCATTGTTGCAATGGGTATTCCTGTGTCCTTGTTTAGCATTCTCCTTCCCCTCTCCAAATTAGACAAATGTATATACAAGGTGCACGGTACCAAAATCAAGTACAGTAACAACAGGGGATATACCATAGAGGGGAAAACCCACAAAGGAAACAAAAAAAATCACATAAGTTTAGATTGTAATCTTCATTCTTCCAACTTCCCAACTGTGCCTGTCTCCTAGTAAATTCAAATCCCTAAGCCATAAACTCTTCAAGGCGGTATTTTCTTTTTCAGTAGTTCTCGGAGATATCTTCCATGTCAGCAAAAAGAACACATAAATGTCTTTCATGTTCTTGAGCCACAGTCAGATAAAAGCTTATTGTAAGAAAGCTTACTGTATTTTTGCTCTCTACCCTCTTTCACTCATACAGATCCTTGGATTTTCACAGATCAGTGGCTCCCAAGTTCCTGCCTTAGATCATGAAGCTCCTCCTCCTGCACTGGAGCAAACATTTCTTCCACTATGTTGGACAGTATCAGTGCCATTTGTCTGTGAAGTCAGACAGAATAAGCCGCACACTTGTGTTCAGACTCTCAAAATACCTACAGGATTGGAGATCATTTTTCTCTCTAAGCACCTACCTCCACAACCATCCAGATAAAAGGTAAAGTACAAGTACTTTCTCCAATATTTTGTTTTATATTTTACAAATCTAATCTTCCAAATGTTTTTCTTTGACTAGAGCTTTGTATACAAATTATGTATAATTTAAAGTTTGTCTTCTTTTGAGTAAAAATTATAGTATCAGTAGTAAAAAGAAAAATTTTGTTTTTTCACATTTTTAGTCACCATCTAAAATGGAAATTCTGAGACAACTCCCTACTTAACTTCATTTCATGGGAATTACAAAGCCATTATATTTGTATCTTATTGCTGTTGTCAATATAATGTGTATAATGTGTGTATATACATATATGTGCACTAAGCTACATGTGTATTTGAACAGAGAATCTTATATATTATTACAAGAATGTTTTTTTTACTTCATAGACTTTTTAAGGAGCTGAATCATTTCCTTTTTTGTCAAAAAACAGAGCTAACACTTAAGAACAAGGAAAAAAACACTTCCCATTAAATATGTAAACTTGTTCTAAAAATAATCTATTCAAGAATTATTTCTACTCCACCCAATCATTTAAACTAAGAACAGACTAACAAGTTAATAATATTAATGTTTTAATTTCTGTTTAGAAAAATGCAATATTATAAGTGCAAAAGAGATGATCATTGTGTGAAACTGACTTCATTTCATTAACTTAGAATTTGTATGCTTCATCTGCCCATTTCTGATATGTGTTCTTTTATTTCCAAAATGCTTGTACCTCCAACTAGTCAAACTTGTTGACTAGTGAGAATAATTATTTCATTTTATCAAGTTAATTTCATACATTTAAGAGTTCTACCTTTAGAAACATTACAAGAGTACATGTTGCTAAAAAGAACTCAACAAATATGTAGTAGGTGTACTTTACACGAATACTTTTAAGAGCTAAAGATGTTATTATTCTGGTCAAATTAATTACTGCAACAACTTTATTTTTGTATCTCTCAAAGTGAAAGTTCACTTCTTTTTATCTGTAAAGATATAGGAATCTAACTAAAGATACTACAGTCTGTACTAAAAGTAAGCTAAAAAATGCCCAGATCATCTCAAAATCCACAATGTCAGGACTTGAAAGATAAGGTTCCAGATATGAATGTTCTTTATGCCTAATTTTCTCTATCAAATCTGACTGCTAGTCATCAATATTGTCAAGGTAGAAATAAAATAATATTTTAGAAGTAACTTCCTGTCTAATAGAACTTTCAGTGAGGAAGAAAATGTTCTTTGTCTGTGTTATCCATTAGCCACATGTGGTTATTGAGAACCTGAAGTGTGATATAGCAATTAAAGAACTAAGTTTGGAACTTTATGTAATATAGTGGCTGGTGGCACAAAACAGTGGCATTAGCAAACACTTTTGATATGGGGAAAGCGATGTCTTCAGTGATGTCTTCAATAGCAACAAATATAGATCAGTAGACCAGAGCTAAATATATATTACTTCTTTTTCCTAATATTAACTTTACTACGATCATAAAAAATTTAAAAGGTTCTGTTTTTCACATGGCAAAATATGCCATCTCTTAAGTCTGTATAATGAAAGAAGAAGTGTTACTATAAACTAACCTAAAAAGACAAGCCATCATCAATTATATGCAAGGATTGAAAAAGTAAATGATTCACTTAAGTTCTGTACAAGCAAATAAAAAATTCTACTGGGAATTGAAGCTTCAAGTGTTCAAAGAGTGAGAATCAGGAATTATTTTTTTAAAAATCAAGAGTTCTAGGTAAGATATGCATCTCTTACATAAATCAACACAGATTACACTTTACTAAGAAGTTAGTGGAATTAGCTGCATCATAACAAGTTTGACAAGAAATATACTCACTACCTGACTTATGTAACTATAACTCCTCTGTACATCACTTTGAAAATAAAAGAAAAAAATTTAAAAAAAGAAAAAAGAAACTGGAAAAAATGTTGAGACTTCAGAAACTAACTCTTCATTCTAAGTCTGTATATGATTCTTTTAAATAAATACTAAGAAAATTAGAGGACTTTAAAACCTGGTTGTTTTGAAGTCTCTCAGAGCCGTAGAGATGTATTCAGATAAATGCTTTTCCATAAGTGCTACTCTAATCCAGGCTCTACCCTAAAAGAAAGAAGAAACAATCAAATAGGAAAGCAATTAAAATATATATGCCACCAAAACCATAAGTAGCTTAACAAATGAAGAACAAGTCTCTCAAAACACACATTTATTAAAGACTAACAAAAATATCCAGACAGATAAAAATAAATTTGATTATATAAAGTATGTATCTTGTTCTCAGAAGTTCAGGGCACAATATAGTAATATTGAGCTACTTATGTTAAAGACTTACTTTAAATCATATAATATAATAATGAGATAAAACTCTACTTCTAGACTCTAAGCCAACATGCTATCAGTTACAAACATTCTACCACCATTAATTTAAGAGAATTTCCCATGCTATTTTTCCAGAGGGAGGTTTTATACAGTTCATCATGAACTGTATAAAAATGCATGTTTAATTGTGTGGCCAAATCATGACTTTTTTATTTTGGATACCCAAATTCCAATCTATTAACAAGTATTGAAACTATAAAAAAGAACAAAGGGTTGGGGTATAGCTCAGTGATTAGAGTAGTTGTCTAGTATGCTCAGAAGTCAGCATATTCTGGCACAGAATCACAGAGAGTGCTAACACTTTTTTGATAACTGAGGTTAGCCAATCTTTTTATAATACCCAAAGTATTTCTATGAAACAATGTAAGAGATCACATCAGTAGAAAGAATTTTAAATTTTACTTTCATTTTAACTTGACCTCTTATCAAATATTCAGAAAAATTCATGAAGATCGAATATACAGAAATCCAAAATAAGGGCTAGGAAGTTGGCTCAGTGGTAGAGTGCTTGTCTTGCATGCATGAGGCCCTGGGTTCAATTCCTCAGCACCACATAAGCAGAAAAAGCCAGAAGTGGTGCTGTGGCTCAAGTAGTAGGGCACTAGCCTTGTGCTGAAGAGCTGAGGGATAGCGCCCAGGCCCAGAGTTCAGGCCCCACAACCATCATAAAAAAATCCAAAATACTGCAATTACAATGAAAGATAAAGATGACATTAGTGAGAATGATGTTAAGCTAACATAGGTAAGGGGAGGAAGGCATGACCATGTATGTACATATAGTCAATACGCCAAACACTTGGGAAAGAATGGTCAAAAAGGAGGTAGTCTAGGTGGTGATAAAATGGAGTAAAAGCAGGAGTTCTGCTGGGAAGATCATGAAGTAGGGGTTGCTAGTATGCATTTTGCCTATCAAGCTTACCACCCTCTTTTAGTTTGCCCTATGCTCAGCCCATTGTTCCTTCAGAGTAAGTCTATAGGCACCTACAGTAAGCTGCAGCTGATCAGAACAGAGGATGGAAGATGCAAGTCACTAGCTGGCCAAGCCTCCTCATAGGATCTTCCTTGAAATTTCTCTAAAGATATAGAATCTAATGGCAGTAGTTTTAAAAAAAAAAGGGGGGGGGGGAAGCCACAAGGTCACCAATGCACACACAAGATTCTATCTAGAGAAAAATCAGGCATAGACACCATGCAGTTTCTAGATAAGCAAAGTTGGAAAAGCACTACTTCCTTATTTATTAATTTCAATCCCTACAAAACTGGCTGCAATAATTTCCTGTCTTTGTGTGAGAAATTTTATATAGTGAAAATAGATTGTACTAAATTTTAATGGTTTCTTTTCCTTCAGATAAAGGAGATAAACAGAATTATCAAGGTTTGGAGACTAAGAAAATTTGTAAGAAAATTTGACTTTAATAGTTAATGATAGTTTTAAAAATAGCAAAAATAGTCAATATTCCTTTAGAATGACCAATGAACACTGGGCCTTATTTTTAGAATTTTTTCATACAACAGTTAATACTCCTAAAAATTGTATGAACACTATGTATGCTCCAGTTAGGTTACAATACCTACTTTACTAGAGGAACTCATAATCACTTTGATTCTGCCTCCCAAGTGCTGGGTTTACAGGCAAATACCACTATGCCTGGTTCTTCCCAGTTTCACTGATAAAAGTATTATGTATTTATTGTGTTAACTGTGGTTAGAGAACCTACTTTATATGATTCCAACCCTCTGAAACAGAGACAAATAATGTCTCAGAAAATAGTACTCTGTAGGTTCAAGAAACCTATATATGTGTGTATATATATATATATATATTTACATATATATTTACTTATATATTCACTATATATATATTCAATTAACAAATATATAGCTTGAGCTTGCTTTCTTTTCCTTTCCTTTCTTTCTTTTTCCCTCTCCTCCTCCCTACCCCTCCCCTTCTCTCCTCCCTTTCCTTCCTTCCTTCCTTCTTTCTTTCTTTCTTTCTTTCTTGTTTTCCTTTCTTCCTTTCCTTCCTTTTCCTTTTTTTCTTTATGGTTCAGTCCTGGGCACTGTTCCTCAGCTTTTCTGCCCAAGGTGAGCATTCTACCACTTGAGCCAGACCTCCATTTCCACTTTTGTCATGGTTTATTGGAGATGAGAGACCCCAGAACTTTCCTGTCGCTATTTTTGAACTGAGATCCTCAGATCTCATCCTCTTGGGTATGTAGGATTATAGACATGGCCCTGCTCTTTTTTTGTTTTTGTGATATTGGGGATTAAGCCAGGGATTTGTGCACAATAGGTAGGCATTTTCCCATTTAAGCCATGGCTACAGCCCTTTTGATTTTATTTCTAAGTCATGTCTTATTAAATGCTGCCTGGGCTGGCCATAAACTAACTTTCCTCCTGACTTCTCCTCCTCCAGAGTAGCTGGAATTAGGTGTGAACTATCATACCTGGGTTTATCTTTTTTCTTTTTTGAGATTCTTGAATTTATTGAATAATGGGTATTGTTAAAAAAAATCTGTAGCTTCTTTTTTCAGAGATTTATTTATCTGGCAGGCATTCAGAGTACTAGAATATTACCTATCATCATTTAGAGCATCACTTTTGGCCATTTTTTGCGGTGTTGGACTTCAGAATTGCCTATGTCTTATAAACCTTATATGTGAAACCTGGAGTGTTTACAGTACTTTCCATCTTGTTTGTCCTGGTACTTTCACCTCCATCGCTCCAGAACAAGACTGTGACATCTTCAATCAGCTGTTTTTATCTCTTATCTACTGCTTTCAGCTTAGTTTATGGGACTTATACTCTAATATCGAAAATGAAGAATTAACAACAACCTCAAAGGAAAACTATAGGCATATTTTCAGCCATGCTTGTTTAAAATTCTTTCTTTTAAATTGTGGTTTGACTGGCAACTCAAAGGTAGGAAAACTTAAGAACAATACAGGCTCAAACCTTGAGGAAAAATTGGATGTGGTAGCTCACTCCCATACTCCCGAGGCTGAGATGGGAAGAATCACAGTTCCAGGCTAGATTGGGAAAAACTTCAAGAGCCCCATTCTCAACAGAAAAAGGTGGTAGAAAATAAGCAGATTACCTATTATCTCAGCTATGGCATAAATACTAAAGAAGAGAAATGAGGTCCAGGTGGCCCTAACCAAAATAAGTAAATAAATAAATAAATAAAAGACTTTATCTCAAAAAACAGCCAGAGCAGGAAGTGGTATTAGGCTCAAAGTGGTAAAGCACTAGCCTTGAGCAAAAGAGCTCAGGGATAGAGTGGAGGCCCCAAGTTCAAGCCAAGAAAGAAAGAAAGCGAGCAAGAAAGAAAGAAAGAAAGAAAGAAAGAAAGAAAGAAAGAAAGAAAGAAAGAAAGAAAGAAAGAAAGAAAGAAAGAAAGAAAGAAAGAAAGAAAGAAAGAGAGAGAGAGAGAGAGAGAGAGAGAAAGGAAGGAAGGAAGGAAGGAAGGAAGGAAGGAAGGAAGGAAGGAAGGAAGGAAGAAGAAAGGAAGGAAGGAGGGAGGAAAGGAAGAAAGGAGGGAGAGAGAGAGAGAGAAAAAGAGAAAGAAAGGGAGAAGAGAGAACAAGAGAAAGAGAAAGAAAGAGAGGGAGAAGGAGAGAGAGGGAGGGAGGGAAGGGGAGGGGAGGGAAGAGAAGGGGAAGGGAGGGCAGGAAAATAGGATAAAATTCCTACCTAGCAAGCGGGAAGCTCTGAGTTCTAACTCCACTCTTTCCAAGAAAAAATACAAAAAGAAAGTTAAAACAAATGAATTTCTCAAACTTGAAACCAGTTCAAATATTAAGGAAATCCAATAGAAACACAAAGTCAGTAACAGTAGTAACTAACAATTCAATTAGGAGTGGTTTTAGTTAGAACTTATATAGTAAATTTACTAATAATCAGCACAAGGGCATGGAGAAGATTCACAGGAGCTTAGACAAGAGTGAACCAAAAGAAATTGACTTGCTTAGGAGAATATGGTCTGAAACCTAAGTAAATGTATTTATATAAATCTTATGTTTAAAAATGTTTACCTATTACAGAAACACTGCAAATATACCAATACAGAAAGACAGTTGTTTCAGTATTCTACTTAATCATTAGGTTATGTTTAGGTCTTAGGAAATAGCCTCAACTTGTGACAGCCTAAGCAAAGAAAGGGAAGGGTCTGTATTTCATTCATTTTACCTTTGGAGAAACTAAGTATCAGATCTCCAATGATGATTAAGTTTCCAAAATATAATTTAAGTGGCACACTGGTATCAGGACACAAATAATCCAAATTCAATCAACTGAACTTAATCTTTTGGGGGCTGGCACTGGGACTTGAACTCAGTGCCTTCATGCTTTCACTCTGCTTTTTTAAAAGGCCAGTACTCTGCCCCTTGGGCCATGTCTTCAGTTTCCAATTCAATGTAATCCAAAGAATGGGGGTTGGGGTGTAATTCAGTGGAGGAGCACTTGCCCAGAGCACATATGCACATGGCCCAGGGTTCAATCTTTAGCAACAGAGAGAGAGAGAGAGAGAGAGAGAGAGACAGACAGACAGACAGACAGACAGACAGACAGACAGACACAGAGACAGACAGAGACAGATAGAGACAGATAGAGACAGAAAGGGAGGAAAGGAGAGGGAGGGAGGGGGCAGAGAGAGAGAAAGAGAGAGAGAGAGAGAGAGAGAGAGGAGGTGGGGAGAGAGAATATTAAGGAATGCTTCTAGGATGATTATAGAGTTGTAAGAAATGTAGGAAGATTGAGGTCTGCAGCTGGCCTGGGCAAAAAGTGCATCCTTCATTCTGAAGGATGGAACTGTTGCTAAGTAGCAGAGTGACTACCTAGCAAGCACAAGGCCTGAGTTCAAACCCCAGATCAAACAACAACAAATAATGTTGCTATATCAAAGTAGTCAGTGTCCAATTGTACATCTATGTCTTCCATTGCTTAAAGTTTAAACTATTATCTGTATAAGACTAAAAGTGTACTCAAAGAAAATCTTCCCCTTTATATAATATTAAAAATGATCCTGCTTTGATAACAAGTACACTAAGTTGTATATAACTTATCAGCTAATTTTGGTGCTTTAATGTGGAATATTTTTCAAGACTGCCACTCAAAGCATCTATAAACCACTGATACATTTATTCAGTTCTTTGATCCTGACAGTTAGAAGGTATGATTAAGTACTTTTTGCTCTTCTTCCTGCAATGAATAAAAACAGATCTAGTTCTTGCCACAACCAAGTAAATTTTAGGTCTCTCTTCTATTAACTAGAATATGCTTAAGGCCTGAGCAAAATAAAGATAAAAACACATGATGGGAACATGATTTTTCTGTGGCATTTTGATACTCAGCACCAGTTCTTTAGAGAATAAACATTAGCCCTGCTGGGTATCATCCTGTTTGCTGATGATGCTGGCCCAAGAGTCTGATTAAGACAGCTGAGAAGCTAGGGTTTGAGTTTCTTTGGTCCACCCAGGTCAAAAGCCACATTCTAAGGTTAGCTGAATTCTCAGTTACTTTCTGTATTTTGGGTATATGCTAGTTTTATAAATACATTCTATTGAAGAGATTTACAATGTGCTTCTCAGGCTTATATATCCTACTGTAGAAAATAAGAAAGTTTATGTTCTATAATTATTTCTTATAAAATCTATGAATATTTGATTCATTCTTATTACAACTAATCTTTTAATCATAGCCTAAAGAAACCAAGATATTATTTCCTTAAACCACAAGAAAAAATGTGAAAGCAAAACTGCTACAAATTCCACTAAAATGTAATTATTTTATAATTCTACAATAATATGTCTTATTCATATAAGTTCTACATATCTCCTACATTTAGCTACTACTATCTTATTTTATGTATATGTATAAAATCCTGCTCACACATATACACTGTTGGAAAAAAAGTCTTTTAATAGCTTTACAGATAATTGTGATATTCTCCCTCGATTGTAAATTAAAACTCAGTGAATGTTATTTGGATCATGGAATATATAACAAAACTAATAAACTTTTAATACAGTATTATATTAAATCCATTGATAATCCATCATTTACTGATATATGATTTTATAATGTTATGAAATGATCAATTGGTAGATATAAAACAGGTCTGTCAATGTTAACAATTTCCTTAAAAAGATCTTTGCTAATTATCAACATCATTGTTACCAGAAAAGCCTTTAATAGGAGTCCTGGATGGGGATTTATACCAAGCCACCAAGAGCTAGGAAGCTTTCCTTAGTTTTCCTGATGCCCTACTCACACTTTAAATAAAAATTTTGCCTCTGCTCCCCACACTCCCCCACAACAAAAGCTTTTACTAACTATTAAAGTGGTAAACAAGTTTTCCTAAGTTTAGTTTTTGCTTAAAAGTTTTACTTTTACATCAAATATCAAGTACAAAGAAGGACAGCTATACCTCACATTTCAGTGTGAAAAACCAAATAGATCCATAGTTTATTTTCCTGTATCAGAATGATCCGCTTCCTCCTTTCACTACTTCCCCTCCATGTTCCTGTTCCATTTCTGGGGATCCAGAGTGGACTTCCATATATTGTTTATTTATTTTTATCGTAACTCTTCTTTCCTAGCATTAAAAGTAACATATTTGTTTCTACCACCTGAAGTTACGCTTTTAAAGGGAGAAAATTCTATTTGCTTCATTCATCAATAGACCTTTGGTGGTCCAGCATAGTGTTAGCACACAGCTGGCATTCAAGAAATATTTTTTATTGATTGATTTTAATGAAATTATTTAAATATATGTATTATTTTTAAATGTTATCTACTTTTGAAGTATTTTATCATTGACTGAATGGATTGGAGGTATATTTTACATTATTATAAGGTTAGTGTTACAGTGATTAAAAAAAATGGGATTTTTTAAAAAAGCTTTAATTTTAATATTGGAATAAATACTGTATCCTGAAGTGCCTTCTTCAGAAAGAAAGTTTCTTTTTCTTCAAAAGAATGTTTGCCAAATGTTCAGTCTAAAAGGTAGGCACTAATGGCTCATGCCTGTGATCCTAGCTACTCAGGAGCCTGAACTCCAAAGATTGCAGCTCAAAGCTAGCCCAGGTAGAAAAGTCTATGAGATCTTATCTCCAATTAACCAACAGAAAACTGGAAGTGGTACTGTGCAGCCCAAGTGGTAGAGCGCTAGCCTAGAGCAAAAAGAACTGAGGGACAACTTCCAGACCCCAAGTTTAAGCCCATGACCAACAAAAACAAAAACAAGAAAGTATAAAATGAAAAATACATAGTTCAGATTAAGATTCAAACAACTGCAAAAATGCCTTTCTTAGGGGTAACTATATTTCAGTTTCTTACAGAAATGTTTTATGCATATTTCCCATCTTTCTTAGCTGACAGGCTAGGCTGAACTCTCCTCCTGCCTCCGCCTCACTATAATGCTAGATTACAGGCATTGGCTGGCCATATTTTTATTTTACTTACAATATTAAAAATACACATAAGCAAAAGTTGAGATCTAATAAAATTAGTGTTTACTGTACATCATGAATATTGTAAGGTAAAACTAGTGTTTTTATACTGTGTGTGTGGCAGAAAGAATGTGAACTTTAAAGAAAAGATATTCAGGGCATTCGTTAGACATCTATTTCCTGAAATCATCAAGCAATTAAAATAGGAAACATTTTCATTTTAGCTGAGTAGGTTCAGACTTTACTGCTACAACAGTAAAGAAAGAAAACATTTTCTCCTTCCCAAAGTGCTTATTAGTTCAAAAATGCTTATAATTAGTACATACATGGTACATATTGTCAGTGACTTACCTTAGCTCTAGAGGAGCTGACATTTTCCATATTTTCAATGCTGCAGATACAATTCTGTGAAACTTTCCGACAAGCCACTCTGATATAGTCCCAGAAGCTACGAGGACTTTCATAACCAAACCAGGTAACTTGACCTTCAGGAGATAAATTGTAATAAAAAAATAAAAACTAGCTAGAAGATTTAAAAATGAAACACCAATAAAATAATTTAATTTCTCTGGATTCCAAGCAAGTAATGAAAAGACAATTTGGCATCTCATTCCTATTTTGGTGCAAGGGAACTTGTTTTCTTTCTCTCTGAGCAGTAATTAACATATACAGAGTAGTTAACATGACCTAGGCTATATGCTATTTGCTGCATCTACATTCTAATCCTCTTAGCAGTACTGTCAGGTAAATTATAGCACCATTCTCAACTAACAGAAGATCAGATGGATAGAGTGTTCCAAGTCATTTCTCAATATTACAAGCTAGAAGATGATCAAATTCAGATCTATCTAGTTCAACAACTCAGGTTTCTAATTTCCCAGGCATCCTTTTTCATCTATATCCATCCTCCAGATGGTTAGCACATTGATGACGTGAAAAGTTATTATAAAAATTTACTTCCTAACCAACCTTTTCCCATACCCATAATTCTAAACTTACTCAAAAAGTATCTAGTCTAATCTAATTTTCCTTGCTTCTATTACTTGAGATCATTCAATCATTCTATAGTTGCAAATGAGAGGTATAAGTATCAGACTTCCCATCAAGAAATTAAGTGTTGAGTGGTCAAAATTCTACTTACAGCCATCATCTCTGTTTATAGATAAACATTTGGCTTTGTGAGAATGGAGAGCCTACCCGGCAACAGACACAGAGTTTTTCCAAAATAAGCCTTTTCTACCCATTAAAAAAAAAAACAAGCAGAAAAAAGAAATGAAGTACTGTATAGTGGCAGAGAAGAGAGAATACCACAAGAATTCTTTGTTGACTTTAAATCTCTCTAAAAAGGCAGTATGAGAAATAGAAGTCAAAATAATCAAGGAAGAACAACACTTTAGTAATCAGTGTCAACCACCAAAGTTGTGAACCCAGATAAGTAACTAGGGAGAAAGATAAGCATGGATTGTCTATAACCAAGAAAAGTTTTGCTTGTTTTTTAAAGAATTACCTTTATAAGGAAACATACTTTTCAACAGAGAAAGATCTGCTTTTCTAAATCACAATTTTAAACTTTTTTATCAGATGGCTGAAGACAATAATTCATAAATTTTAAAGAACTGTCAAAAACAAAAACAAAGACCCCAATGATACAATGATTTAAAAAAAAAAAACAGTGATAAAAAGAAACACTGAAAAAAAGATCTAGAAATCTAGTATTGGACTGAGCAGATGAGTAGGCTGTAAACCCTGGGAATTTACTGCTGTGAATAGACGGTTCTAGGTATAAAGACTTGAACCATGCCAGGCACTGGTGGCTGACACCTGTAATCCTAGCTACTCAGGGGGCTGAGATCACAGTTCAAAGCCAGCTGGGGCAGGAAACTCCATGAGACTCTTATCTCCAATTAACCACCAGAAAACCAAAGTGGTGTTGTGGCTTAAACACGCCTTGAGCTGAAGAGCCCAGGGACAGCGCCCAAGCAGAGTTCAAACCCTTGACCAACCCCCCCCCCCCCAAAAAAAAAAAGACTTTAAATGAAGCAATAATGTAAGATTTCTAAGATTACAAACTGATAAATTAATTCACAGAATGGCAACATTCATGACTTGCAGAACCTTAAATAATCTAGTATTATTTTCACAACACTTATCAGCTCAACAAATTAGATGTGTCTGTTTTCCTTTCTGATCTATATGCATTTGACATTTCCAAAGTGAGGTTTTTAATTAAAGATACTCAGCTTGTCACATTCAGATTATCTCCTTTAAGTCAAAGTGGATTTCCTTGTTAGACCCTTCAAAAAAGTACTTACGTAAATTGTCTAAACAGTTTCAATTTTTACTTAAACAATTAGTTTATGCATCTACAAAAAGAGTTAAGTTTAGCCAGGCACCTGAGTGGTTCACACCTATATTAGCTACTTGAAAGACTAAGAGCAGGAAAATCACAGTTCAAGGCCATTCTGGGCAGGAAGACTTCTCCTCAATTGATTAAGTTGGCTGTAGCTGTACTCACTAGTCATTTTGGCTACTACAGGAAGACAAAAATGGGCAGATTATAATCCAGGTGCATGTCCAGGTTGGAAGTAATACTCTCAAAAATTACCAGCATGAAAAAGAGCTGGAGGTGTGGTTCCAAAGTAGGGTATCTGTCTAGCAAGCACACTGCACAGAGTTCAAACCCCAGTACCATAAAAATATGTTGAATTTATTTAAGCTTAATATAAGCGTCCAACTGGTTATTTCAGATACTATCATTACATACTTCTTCTATTTAAACACACATTAAATGCTAAAGTCTTTAGTATTCAAAAGGTAGATTAAAATGTCATAGATGATTATACACTAAAAACTAACACTGAAGGAATAAATAACCAATCTCACAAAGTTTTCATTTTCTTTTTTTTTTTTTGGGGGGTCCTGTCATGGGGCCTGAACTCTGGGCCTGGACGCTGTCCCTCAGCTCTTCAGCGTAAGGCTAGCACTCTACCACTTGAGCCACAGCGCCACTTCCGGCTTTTTTTCTTTTTTGCTTATGTGGTGCTGAGGAATCGAACCCAGGGCCTCATGCATGCAAGGCAAGCACTCTACCACTGAGCCACCTTCCCAGCCCAGTTTTCATTTAAAAAAAAACACAAAAGCAAATCAAATAGCAGGAGACTGACTAATTTGTACTTTAGAGAAACTTTGTTCTAAAGAAGAGATATACCATTAACAGAAAATTCTTTATAGCTCTTGATAAAGAGTATGCATACACTTTTAATAAGTATTCTTGAAAACTGACAAAGTTAAACAAGCTTTTCAAACCATATTCCTATCCCATCAATCCCATGCTAATTTATTATGGACACAGAAATAAGTGGTAAAAAGTTTTAAGACTTCAAAAAAATATACTACTGACCATTGCCTCTTTCTTGTTCACTATCTAAAACTGTTCTTTAGAATCCAAAATGTCTTCTAAAATTAGTCCTCTACATTAAGTGAGACAGGTATTCAATCTTAAAATGGGTCTATGTTTTGCTTTTATCTTATTTTGTGGCCAGAATAAAATCTAAGAAAAAGAATTTAATTTCTAAGGTAGTTTTTACTAAGCAGTGACTAATGACACATCATCTTTTAATAGTACAATATAAATATAAATGAATCTGTTAACTGATTTTCTTTCCCCATCTTTTGTAGCTTGCTCAACTATGTATATAATACCTAACAACTGGTCTAATACTGAAGTTCTGTTACTATTATTTTTATTTCTCATCTGACAATACTAAAGAACATTTGTTACCCTGAAGCCAATATTCATCTAGATAATCAACAAAAGATAAGGCAGTCATACCAAATTTTAATGAGCCACTCTGATAACACTATAAAACTTAGCAGAAACAAAGAAAATTGGTTGCTTATAACTTTTTTTTACTTTATTAACATTTATATACTTAACCTTAAACTTTTCACTTTACATTTTTTTCTTTCTTTCTTTTTTTTTGGGGGGGGGTCAGTCGTGGGGCTTGAACTCTGGGCCTGGGCACTGCCTTCAGCTCAAGGCTAGCACTCTACCACTTGAGCCACAGAGCCACTTCCTCACTTTACATTTTTTTTTAACATTTTTCTTACTGCTAATTTATAAAAGCCAGTTTCAAATTTTCTACTATCTTTTTATTACACAGAGAACATTCCCACTTTTACAAGAGGTCAGAGTATTTTTTCCTTCAATTAAAATATTATTATTAGTTGAAGTTTGTACTTACACACTATCCAGCTAATTCAACGAAAATTTCATCTTACTGTTTTTTAAAAAGAAATAAATTTAGCAAGCTGCCAATGGCTCACACCTATAAATTCTAGCTACTCTGGAGGCTGAGATCTGAGAACTGTGGTGCAAAGCCAGCCTGAGAAAGTTCATGAGACTCTTATCAACAATTAACCACCAGAAAATTTGAAGTTGAGCTGTGGTTCAAAGTGGTATACTGCTAGCCTTGAGCCAAAGAAGTCAGGAACAGTACCCAGTTCCCGAGTTAAAGAACTACAACCGACAAAAAAGAAAAAGAAAAAAAAAGAAATTTAAACATTTCAAAACAATTTTATGCTTTCTGATGGATGAGTAGAATTCCACTGTATATATATACACACACACACACATATATATATATATATATATATATATATATATATATACATATTTTCTTGTTTGTCCATTCAGGGACATTTGGGATGACTCTATATATCTTGGCTTTTGTAAAGAATGCTGCAATGCAATATACACAAGAAAATATGTTGGAAATGATCTGTACAACTTGGGGCTTGGGGGTTAGGGGGAGGGAAAGTAGGAGAAAAATGAGGGAAGAGGTAACAAGTTTGACAAGAAATGTACTTATAACTTATGTAACTGTAACCCCTCAGTACATTACCTTGACAATAAAAAAAACAGAATGAAAAAAAAAAAGAATTCTATAATGAACATGGTTGTGCTACAAGCTTTAGTGTGGCCTGTCTGCAGTCTAATGGAAAAATGCTCAGGAGTGGAATTTCTGGGTCATAGAGAAGCTCTATGATTAGTCTTTTGAGGAACCTCCATACTGTTTTCCAGAGTGGTTGAAAAGTTTACATTCCCATTAACAGTGTACTATCATTCCCTTTGGGTCCACCCCTCCAGCATCTGCTATTGTTAGTTTTCTTTATAATGGCCATTCTAACTGGTGGAATCTCAATGTACTTCTGATTTTCATTTCTTTCTTTTCTTTTTTTTGTCAATTGTGGGGCTTGAACTCTGGGCCTGGGCACTGTCTCTCAGCTTTTCAGCTCAAGGCCAGTGCTCTACCACTTGAGCCACAGTGCCACTTCTGGTTTACTGGTGATTTATTGGAGATAAGAGTCTCATGGACTTTCCTGTCCAGACTGGCTTTAAACTGTGATCCTCAAATCCTGAGTAGGTAGGATTACAAGTGTGAGCCACTGGCACCCAGCTAATTTTCATTTATTTTATGGCCAG